TGTTTGTTAAGTGAATTAATCAATTTCCTTAATCTTTAACCGAACTTGTGGTTTCAGAAGAGTAAACGTGAACAGTATTTTTATGTTCTAGGAATCGGTGGCAAAGTGCCTAAGACATCTGACTGCTAACCAGAAGGCTGGTGGTTCAAATCCAACAGCCACTCCTCAGAAGGAAGACTGGGGAATCTCCTTCTGTAGTGATACCACCTGGGAAACCCAAGAAGGGGTCACTATGAGTCGGGTCCCACTCGACGGCAGTGAGTTATTTTTTTTTTTTTTCCTTAAAGAGACATCAGGGTGCTTATATCAAGTATCAGTAGGCTGACAAGGGCTACATCAAAGTGAAAATCCACAGGGAGGCTACAAAGCACACTGTGCCCCTAGCTCTGTTCAAGTTTCTTTATGCTACGGATAGCACACACCTCCACTCATGACTGTTTAAAGCGAACACCCCCCCATCTATGGTCTCAATTCAATAAGCAGGATAAAGACATGAATCACTTCACTTGCTTTTAATATATATACAGATTTACAATTGGTAAGCTTTCAATCATCTTGTGTCACCGTCAAAGCAGTACATCTAACATTAAATTCTTCCAGAGAGAAAAGCCTACCTTCAAAGCATACTGAAGAAATACACAAAAAAAGGTCAGGCTGAAAGCTACTTACCTCTTTTAGGAGACACATTAAGAAACTACTCTAAACTTTCACCCAAATTACAGTGTTCTGGTCACCTAGTGCCACTCTAACAGAAGATACCACAAATGGGATGCCTGAAGAAACAGGAGTTTATTCTCTCACAGTTTGGAGGCTTTAAGTCTGAGTTCAAAGTGCAGGCTCTAGGGGTTGGATGAAAGCCCCTCAACCTTGGGCTTCAGCTCTGCCTCCTGCTCCCAGCCCACTGAAGCTAGAGGTTTTTCTTCACTCAGACAGCTGCTGGCTGCTGAGACTGACAAGGCCAAGGCTGACAAGTAAAATGGCACAGTCCTGATATTACTAAACCACACGGCAGGCCATTAATTCAAGTCCATCAAAGTCCCAAGGTTGGCAGGCTGCTGAACGATGACACGGCTACATGCAGGATTCAAGGTGCCGTAAGCTAGACACCATTCCCAAAGGTGTTTCTTATATACGGGAAGCAGACCACATACCAAAAGCAGCTACTCAGCTGCTCCAATAGATTCCATCATGGAGTTAATTACCAATCTCACCACTGGTGATAACGACATTCAGCTGCCCAGCCACTCAACCAGGCCCAGACAAGTTGACACACAAACTTAACCACTGCACAGAGTAAAAAGTGAAGGAAAAAAAAAAAAAAA